CTTGAACTCCGTGAAAGTCTTAAAATACTGAGAACCAGTGAAGAAATCCAATGGATTCTCATCAAGCACAAAAATCCTTCCAAGAGTGTACTACACAAAAAGATATTTTAACAATTAAGTGTTTATTTAGAACACAACGTTGTCCAAAGTGAAAATTTTCAGACAACCAGTCAAAAACATGGCCCTGGTATATTTTATAATAAAACTGTCCACTGCTAACCTCTGCTCCACATACACATAATTTGTAAAGAACATTTTAATGTTCTAAGCTTCCTTTTTTTCTACCAAAATGTCACATAATGGTTTAAACCATCTGAAATTAAACCACCCAAAATTTCTCTCATCTTCAGGACTCTGTTAAATAGCTCTAAGTAGAAGCAACTCAAATTCTACCAGTTAGTACCAGTTACAAGCAACAAAATAAACCCCCTTAAACCTAAACATCACACTTATTTGAAACAGTCATCTCTTCCTTGACTCATTCATGCTATTTAATTCATTCTAGCGCTTCAGGACTCATCAGTAAGACAAGACAGCCCAGCAGGAATCGGCACAATCCTGTCCATGCTGCAAAGTTTTCCCTTATATTTATAAAATTATCGCTGCTACCCTGCACCTCAGAGCACAGCACATGAAAATGCTTCCCCAATAACAATACTTCCTTTCAAATTCCTGAAAGACCTTAACCACCACAGAGAAATTCCCTACGGAGCTGGAATTTTAAGTACAAAAGAACACATATACATTGCTGAATATGGGAGTTTCTCAGAACCAAACAACTTTACAAAAGAACAATCAGAAAGTGTTTAAATTTTGGGTTTAGGTTGCATCGGAATAAAAGAGCTGCTCAATTAACATTCTGGGGTGGGTTTTTTAGTATGGTTTTAAATTTCAGATTAATGATTACTAAAAAAAATGCCCCTTAACTAACGAGCACTATCTTATAAACAACTTTAAATGGTTTTATATTAGTATTTTTGACAAAGCAGTCACCATCTATAATCAAAATAAATACTGCTAAAACTGTTCTGACATAGAACATTTAAAAATGAGACTACCATTTGAGTATAACAATAAGAATTATTTCAGTACAGTATTTATTGTATTTTAGTGACTGTGCCACAAATAAATTCATGTTTTTCTCAAATCATTCATTCATTAACTGCATTTTCTACTTCCAGAAATTTTGCTTAGAGAACAGCAATTCAAAGAGGCAAATGATTAAAGCACATCTCCAGTTGTGCCACTGTGAGCTGTCCTCCAAGTCACAGACAGAACACGGTCAATGCATGTGACCCTTCTGTAAAAAACAGATCCCTAAGGAAAACACAGATGATGTCAATCCACGAGCTCATTAAACAGCAGCCAGTTAGAACTCAAGTCAGCTAGAACCCAAACCTCAAAACATCACTATCTTCACTCCTTACTGCTTATGGAAACCATCCATGAAATGAAAAATAAACTCAAACTATCAGCGGAACATGCGTTTCTTTCAAGACCAGAGCACAGTAATTTGATAAAAAACCCATCTGTCCTGAGGAATGCAGTAGCAAACAGTTCAGAGGTTCACACCAGGAGTCCTCCCAGCACCCAAAGGCCTCCATGACAACCCATCCACCTCCTCCAGCAAAACCCCAAGGCTGAGGTTTCACATTCTGGGGCAACTGCAAGGCATTTATGTGAGGGGTTATTTTTCAGTTGGATCAGTTCCCCACACAGCTGCAGGCTCAGCTGTGCCAGCACAAAGAAAGCAACCCGCAGACATGAGGGTGCCACTCAGGGCATGCAAAAGGTTTGGGAACCTCTGAAACAATCCAACAGCTGGGGAATAGCTGCCTTGTCAAAAGAGAAAGGAGGAACAATCAGATGAGAGTTAAGAAAATTCTACTGAGGAAATGAAATAGTTTTCACCAGGAGGAGTCAACGTTCCCATTTCAGGAAATCCCAAAGCCAAATTCTGATCAGTCACAAACAGTAAAAGGTAAGCTGGGCATAGAAACCACTCTGACCATGCAAGCAAAGCTGAAACCAATTCATCTGCAATCTTGGTGGTAAGTGTCTGAATACAAGTCCATGTCTCAATGGATTAAAAATCTGCAAAGGGGCTGATCCCTTGTGTAGGACCTTCTAACAGCAGCTGAGTGCTGGTATCACAGCAACTCCATTCCATGGCTGCAGAGAAAACATTTAGCTATCAACAGCATCAAACTTACTGCAATTTGGAAAACTGCAACCTGCAGAGCAGCTTCAGATCTTTTAAAGGTTAGCAGTGGCACTGACACTCCAGTCTAAGCTCAGGTATCATACCGAGAAGAAAGAACCTCATCCAGTAATTTCTGACGTGAGCTCAAAACTTTTCTTGGAGAAAAGTACTTATTTTTAAGAAAGAAAAATAAAAGCATACTGCTTTTGGAATTCAGTGGCTATGAGTGACAAAAAACACACTGCACTTAGAGGGAACTTACAATATTTAACTGCTTTCTTAAAAAAAAAAAAGTTAAATAGACTTCAGTATCAAACATCAGCTGATTCCACATTCAGAGGTAGCTTGCCCTTCACTGATATTCTCTGAGCACATGCAGCAAGGACAAGACTAGCACCAATGAGTTTCAATGATGCAACCAGCCATTAATTTTTTTCAAGATCCCTCTTCCAGTGTGTAAGTTCTAATTCTTACAAAAAAATTACCTACAGTCTCAGTACATTCAGAAGAAGGTATTAGCTACATCAAAACAGTAAAAACATGCAACAAAATGCACCCAGCTGCATGATCCTTCACTGCCAGTGTGTTTGTGAAAAAATGAGACCGATCTAAAGAGAAGAAACTACCAACATGAAAGCCAGATCCCTGTCATCCCAGCATTGCTTTGTCTTGACCACTGATCCCAGTTCTACAGCCAGCTCATAATTTGTTCTGCTCTGCACAAACTTCAGATAGTGTTCTTTAAACAAAGAACACTATCACTTCTGCCTTATAAAAAACACTTCACACATTATATACAAAGATGCATGCATTTATTGAAGATATTTAATTAAGTAACAAGCTTTTAAGGGAGAAAAACTGTGGAGTATTATACATGCTGCTATCTTGTGGTATTTTATGATTTACATCCAATTTATTAAACACACTTATCCATAATTTTGACTAAATTCAGACTACACAGAATTATAGTTCTGAAGACCATGCTCCTTCAGCATTTTACACTTCTGGAAATTCAGGACTTAAAATCTGGGTAAAATATTCATTAGTGACATCAAAACATTCTGAACTCGCTTTTCTGTTCTAAATTATAAAAAATTTAACTATAATGCAACTAAAATGTATGATAATATAACAAACCTTGTATCATGTAATGAAATTTATTTTTACTTTATAATGGGACACAAACACTCTCTTTCAAACAGCAGCAGTAAATTAGTTATAGAACACCTATGACTTTCTGCATTAAGAGAAATAGTTTTACAGTCTTTGGTACTAGAGTTCAAAAACTGTAGTGAACAGGAACATATGTCCTTCACTTAATTAAAAAATCCTTTAACTTCTCTTTTTACATCAATTAAAATTCCTCCAGTATTTTCAACTACTACTGTACCTCTTTGAAAATACAGATACATTTCTTAATACTCCATAACTAACAAGGTTTTTAGTCTTCTTGGGGCTCTTTTTTACAATTAGGATGTTACTTTAAATAGGCATTTAAAAAAGTATTAAGTACTTTAATTCAGATTTTTAATGGCTTAAAGTTTCTTCTCACATTGTTGTGCTAATGCTCTTTTACAGTTCTGGAGAACTGGTATTTCCAACCATCAACTGGATTTTTTTATGCTTGTTTTTCAAACCATACACAGCCCCATCAGTAAACCCTGCCTCTGATCCACAGCAACACCCGATCCTGTCATCCTTAACTGTTACCAACTCAAAAGCAGAGCTCATACAGGTCAGTCCATAATCCTGGACTGTTTTTGTGAAGTAAAGTATGTCCAGAGGGTTACACTGCACTCACCTCTAACTTTATTAGGCTAATGAGAAAGAGTGGTGTAAATTTTTTTGCAGAGGGGTTGGCAGAATTTTCTTAAAACAAAACAAAAGCACGGGATCAGACTATTCTTCACTAAATTTTAGAGACAGCACACTGCCATGCTCCCTGCAGCTTTTCCCATGCCTCTGGATCTGGAAACACCAGTGGTTATATCCCTCTCATTGGATGGGATGAAGTACAAGTCAGATGCCTCCATCACCTAAACCCTTCTGAATTCACAGACCAAATACAGATACCTGCAAATTCCTCCTGAGCAGAATCAAATCTACGTGTTTCTCACTTTAGAAATGAAGGTCCCAGGAAGGCAAACTCACCCTGTTTAATGTCAGACAAAAAACCAACCAGTGGACCCACAGACACACTGCTACCAAACAGCCCACAGCCAGCCTGAGTCACCAAGCTTCTGAATACTCTCAGTTATAACTCATCTCCCTGTTTCTGCATCCCAAGGAAACTGTAAACCAGCATTTTTGTGTGTTTGGAAAAAAGCATGGGGGGGGTGGGAGGACACATTTTCAGGGTGAGGGTGTTGTTTGTTTCCCTACACAAAGAGATCTGCATACATGTTAAAATTAAAAAGCAACAACAATGAAAAAAGACATTCCATGGAAAAAGAAGTAAATATTCTGACCTGTTCTACCCAGCTCTCACCCACACTCCACGATCACTGAAAGGCTGGCAGCCTTCAGACACTTGGCCTGCCAGCCAACTTCATATTCATACCTGAACAAGGAGTGTTTTGGTTGGGTTTTTGTTTTTCATTAAAATAAAAAAGAATGAGAAGTAATAATAAAGTTGTTTTTGTGAAGGTATCACCAGTCTTAATTCTTTTATGGGCTCTGAAATACAGTATAAACCAAGAAAACAGTGACTTAGCCCAATGTTTTTCATTCTGTTGTGTCACCTACACTGAAGAACAGCTCCCCAAAGACATTTATCAGAACAACTTAAAATTCTTACCTTTTGGATAATCTTCCAATAAGAGGTTGAAGTGACCTAACTGACAAAAGAAATCAGACTCGACCTTGCCTTCAGCTTTCAAAATTAGCGATTCATAGCAGCGAACAGCCTGGGAAAAAGAAATACAAGGTTTTCAGAATTCTGTATTTTACTAAATCAAATAATATACTTTGTGAGACATAATAGGTTTTTATTTGCTTGAAAGACGAGGTCTACAAACACTCTCACTAACGGAGTCAGCATCACTTTTCAAAGAAGAAATGTAATATTAAAGACAGAACAGATGTGGCAGCTCACCAATTCTAACGCAAATTGACAACAAATGAACAACAGAAATTTTCTCTGGTTCTTCTGTGAACATTCCATTTCCCCAACACAAAACAAACCTCTAGCTTACCTGACAATTTTTAATTTTAAAATTAATGAAACACAAAAGGATTGATTTCATTCTTTCCAATCTGCAAGAAAGAAACCTCTCTGATTTTATTCTCATTGTGTTGGTTTTTTCCCTAAAGAAATAATTTTTCATGTAACAGTTATTACACTCATTTTTGCTGAACCAAAGAACACACTACCTCAACATGTTTCCTTATGCAATTTATGTATCTTCATATGTGTTTCCCAAGATCCAATTCTTTTCACATCTCACATGTCATAAAATAATTTACTTCCTCCTACTGTAGGCTCAGAAAAGCTAAAGTCAGATATGTAAATTCAATTAGAAATTAATATCAGTTTGAGAAAACTTGCCCCAGAAGATTTTAAGTGACACATACAGAAGCAAAGAATGTTCTGTGCTATGAATACACATTTTTAACAACCGAACTGACACCTCCTATTCACCAGAACTGCCATGATCTTTAACCTATTACATTCTTACCTCATGACCCTATTTACCACCTGACCCTGTTTACACTTTGGGTATGAGTAAATAAATAAATAAAATCACTTTCCCAACTTTCTGAACTTACTAGCCATTGAATTGAAGCAGTTGAATAAATTTATATGGGAGGGAGGGTCCTTGCACTAGCACAGTTCTCAAAAGCCAGACAGACTTCCAGCAAATTCTAATTCCAGCTGGTTAATCTATGGCTTTCACCTATTTATGGTGTATGTTTCAAATTTGGTTGCAATTATGAACTCCTTGATTTTATGACATGACAGTAAATCAAAGACTGTGGGGCCCTTCCAGCTCAGCATATTCTGTGATTCTGGGAAATGAGGAGCTTTAAGAGATTTTACTAAAACTCAATATTCCAAAGGGGATGGGTGGGGGGGTGGGAATCAAGCTGAATATTTAAATCAGTAGCCTTGCCCATGTTTATAATTTCCTTTGAGTATACTTTTACTATTCATCAAAATGAATAATGCAAAAAAAAAAAAAAAAAAAAAAAAAAACAAAAAAAAACCCAAAAAAAACCGAAAGAAAGATGAAATGTTAGGAAACAAATACATCTGTGGAGAACCCAATTACTGATCTAATCTGTTCTGAGTGGGTCACAGTTTGTATCCCAAGACTGAGGTGTATCACACACTTTCACCTACTTCCAAGTCCAGAAAAACCTAATTTTATGTCTGTGTTCAGAGGCAAAGTTCCAGTGAATCAAAACAAAGCTATGCTGCTACAGAGCTTTGGGTGTACATGTGGTATGAAAAGGATTTAATAAACCATTAAATATATGTTTACATGAACTTAAAGTAGGTACTTCAAACTGTAGCTATTTGGCCATGTTCTGAAGATACCAAATTTAGATTTGAATTTGCAAGCTTTGCAAAATTTAGATTTGTATTAGCAAACTGCAGTGGAAGGACTGAAATTCTTTTCACCAAAGATCAAAGCCACTACTCCTTTAATTTCATTCCCATCACTATGAACACCTCTTGCAGTCAGTCAATTCTCTATCTAAAGAATATCATCCCTAAAATCAGAAGCAAAGCACACAAGTCTAAAGTACATTTCTTAAGATCACTATTTCTGTATGTACTGACTCTTAACATCAGCAAATATCTTAGTGCAGAACCTTGGTTTTGGCATTATGCTTCCTCTCTCCACTCTTTGGTCTCACCTCTTGATTTGTACAAACCGTAATAAAATTTTTGATTGTGCCCCTAATGTTACTGTTACACACTCATTTGTAGACAAGTTTCATTTTTTCTGATCATTTGCAATACCTGCTACGGGTGCTGAATAAAATAGTATTTCTGATATTTTCCTAAATTGGTATTTTGTCTTTTGCAATTCAGAACATACAGAAACTGCCACCACAACATACAATAAATACTGGAGAGGAAGCTAGGGTAGTTTATTTCCTGAATTAGGCTACAGGTGTTTAAGGAGAACTTGGCTTTATGAACAAATGTAACAGGATTTTTCTGTACAGATGTTCAGGGAAATTGTAAATCACACGCACTTTAACGTTTAAGTGTTTGGGGACCCTCAAAGTTCCCACAGCCCTTTTTTTAAGTAAATCCTCATTAAAAAAGGCATCACACGTATCTGAAGCACTGTCTGTAGTAGGGATGTAAAAACCTGTGCCCAAGCCTTTCACACAGCTCAGAGCAATTCTCAACAAGGCAGATTTTCCCTTTCTGTTAGAACACAAACTGAAGATACTACTAAACCATCTCACTGATGCCAGCACAGGCAAGGCCTAAGACACCAGAACTTCCTCTTTCAGCCACAGTTAACTGTAAATTATCTGTTCCTGCAAGAGCAATTCAATTACACCATTAAAGCAAACCCTCTCTGCTGACCTCTAACTGGTTTGCAACATAATCAGCAACACTCATATTTATGCAAACTTAACTTGGAAAGGCTGTTTCAAATGAATATTTTCAATCTGACAAAATGAAAGAGAAACTAAAAGCAAGCATTACTTCCTCAGTGGGAACACCAAATCATCCCCTGGATCAGCAGCTTGGTCACCATGTAGCTCTTGCTCTTCCCAGTAGTCAGGGCAGAGTCACCAGGCAAAGACTTACCCAACTTTGGTTTTGACCAAGAAACTTTTTCCCCCATCAGACCCATCCACAAAGATCTTTAGAAAGTAACACATATTTTTCTGCACAGGTAAGAATTTGTCTCTGTTGAATGAATGGATGTAAAAGGGAGGTCACAACTGCACCTATCTGTATATGTTTTCTTTGAAGGAAAAATCAAAAGATCTCATTTTAGAGGTTCTTTAACTGCAAAGGCCACCTATGGCACTACTTGTGCAACACATTTAAATTATCCTGAGACACTAAGAATTCTAAGGAAGTTAAAAACCCCTGAGGTTTTTAAGCATTGTTATTTCTCCACACTGTATGGATCTCTAAGTGCATTCAATGCAGTCAGCCTTGAGAATTGCCAGTATTGACAAATTAACAAGAAAGAGAAAGACCCTGAAATGAAAAGGAAGATTGCTACACAACATCATACACTTCCTTCCCTTTGTTCAAGACTACATGAAGATAAAGGGAAACCTGAAGAATTTAGGAACTTGGCAAAATAATCACCCGCAGCTGCTTCACAGTGTGGCAACCAGAGCAGAAGCAGGAAACCAAGGCAGGAATGGCTGCAGGAAAAGAAATTGGCTTATATAACACTAAGAAAGTAACAACATTCATGTTGTTTGCCACCTTCAACTGAAGTCATACACTATTGTCACACAAATTCCCTCTCATTACATCACAGTTCATGACTGGGGGCGTCCCGATTGCACAGATTCAACTGTCAATTCTTAGGACACCTTTAAATACAGTACAGTGAAGAAAAAGGCTTAGTGTATTTACCAACTCAAAAAAGCCAGCAAAACCTGTTCACAAAAGGAAGAAATATTTCTAGAATCACCTTTAAAATGTACTACCAGACCCCTGTGTGTTCTAAACATTCATTCCAATGGATAAGGAACTGGATTATTTTTTCCTCTCTCTTTTAAAACCATTCCTTCTCCACAGGCATAAAAAAATCAACCAAACAAAACCAACCCCATGAACTAAATGTCAGTCTTAGTCATTATTAATATGATGTCATTTCATGAAGGAAAGACCCTAGAGTCAAGAATATACCATAACAAAATAAATAAACATACTCAACACAAACAATTCTAACTGATAAATCAAACAGATGAAACCAGATTTCTAAATATTGTATACAGGAGTGACTGAAACAGCTCTGCTTTATAAATAAAGACGACCATGTTATTTCTACTTCAATTAATATGAAGAAAAAAACTATAGCATTATCATTGGTTGCAACAGTTTGTATTTTAAAGCACAAATCCAAACTACTGTTAAAAACCTGTACTAGAATAAAAAGGACAAAAATCAATACAGCTTGTTTAGATTGTTTCTGAAGAAGATAATGTGATGTTATCCTTTCTGAATCACGACAAGCATAACTGACCAAAATGAAACTAAGCAGGGTTAAACAGCCAAACATGACAAAATATTAACTATTAATTCTTTAATATATTAATTATATGAAAATGGAGGAGTACACTGAGTCAGCAATTTTTACTTAAAACAAAAAAAAAACCCTGGCAACTACAGAGAAGCAAAAAGCCAGCAATCTGAATTGTTAACATGGCAACAACCAGGCAGTAACATACAGTGAAAGAAATTATTTTAATTTTACTGGCTAATAAATTAACTGCTCAAGAAAAACACAGCACTTCAATACAGACAATACAGTGTAAAATCACAAATTCAAAGCTTCAAGAAGTTCCTAAAACCTTCAATTTCTCAACATGTAGATAAGCTGGGGGAGGGTGACAAAACCGAACAGTTGCTGCTTCTTTCTCTTGTGCCTCCAGTGACCCAACTGGATGGGCCTTGTGAGCAGGTAATGAGAACAGATTCCAATGAAAATTGGAGAGGGAGACATCAGCAGACTCCTGACAAACAAAATACACTCTGTAGCAATGGTTAGAAACAGAATGTTAATTAGCTGATATTTTAACCTTCTGGAAAATAAAGTAACCATGTGGACAGTACTGGCCACTGAGGTGACAATCACGCATCTACCGCGGGTCAGTCCGAGGGCACCTTCAGAGCAGAAAGGCACAAGGTGTGTGTGCTGGGCTCCCTCTCCCTCCCTCATACCACTGAGGAGGCTCTGAAAGGCTT